TATATATCTTTCGATTTGCGCGAAATTTGGCATAACGTACTGAATTGAGCTTAGAATGATGTCTAACAAGTTTGGAGAAAATCGGTCCAGATTTAGATATAGCTCCCATATATAGTTTCGTCCGATTTCATGTAAATGGTGCCCCAAAGTCCCTATATATCTTTCGATTTGCACGAAATTTGGTACAGCCTAATCATTTAGGTCTAGAATGATGTCTGCCAAGTTTCGTGAAAATCGGTCCAGATTTAGATATAGCTCCCATATATAGTTTCGTCCGATTTCATGTAAATGGTGCCCCAAAGTCCCTATATATCTTTTGATTTGCACGAAATTTGGTATAACGTGCTGAATTAAGCCTTGAGTGATGTATGCCAAGTTTGGAGAAAATCGGTCCAGATTTAGATATAGCTCCCATATATAGTTTCGTCCGATTTCATGTAAATGGTGCCCCAAAGTCCCTATATATCTTTCGATTTGCACGAAATTTGGTACAGCCTAATCATTTAGGTCTAGAATGATGTCTGCCAAGTTTCGTGAAAATCGGTCCAGATTTAGATATAGCTCCCATATATAGTTTCGTCCGATTTCATGTAAATAGTGCCCAAAGTCCCTATATATCTTCTGATTTGCACGAAATTTGGCATAACGTACTGAATTAAGCCTAGAGGGATGTCTGCCAAGTTTGGAGAAAATCGGTCCAGATTTAGATATAGCTCCCATATATAGTTTCGTCCGATTTGATGTAAATGGTCCACCAAAGTCGCTAAATATCTTCCGATTTGCACGAATTTTGGCATAACGTACTGAATTGAGTCTAGAATGATGTCTGCCAAGTTTCGTGAAAATAGGTCCTGATTTAGATATAGCTCCCATATATAGTTTCGTCCGATTTCATGTAAATGGTGCACCAAAGTCCCTATATATCCTTCGATTTGCACGAAATTTGGCATAACGTACTTAATTGAGCCTAGAATGATGTCTGCCAAGTTTCGTGAAAATCGGTCCAGATTTAGATATAGCTCCCTTTTATTATAGATTGATTTTAAGTAATTGACGTACTAAGGAACCAATTGGAATAAAACGTTCTGAAAGTTGTATAACCTAACCTGTGACAAGTTTGTTTGAAATCGCTCAATATTTGGATAGAGCTTCCATATATATTTTCGCCCGATTTCTAGTAAATTGGGCATCAAACTCCTCATGTTAGTCAGATTGACATCAAATTTTGCACAACTTAAAAAATTGAGCATAGAATTACGTAGTTGCGTTTTCTAGAAGTGCAGACATAGCCCAACGGATGACCTATTTATATTTGTTTGAAGTCGATTGACATACTTTATGGATAGATCTAGGTAGATTCACATTTAGATAAATATCACATTTTTTTCATCCAATTTTATGTTATAGTCCTGCTTAATATACCCATAGTGGTGAAGGGTATCATATAGTCGGCCCCGTCCGACTTTACTACTTTCCTTACTGGTTATTTTATGATGTAAATATTCATATCGGGAAAACAAGATTTGGAAAATATGCCAGGGTTAGAAAGTGGAGTTCTTGACCAATAATCGGTTAAGTGTGTACAAATATCGCTAAATATTGCCCAGGATCAGAATACCCGCAGAAAATTAGATTTCCATGATAGTTGTGAAGGCTATCATATGGTCGGCCCCGTCCGACTATACTGCTCCGTTAACTGGTTTTATACTGATAAACCTATATCGATATTTGTATACACCCTAGTAGGAAAGGTATATTAAGTTTGTTTTTCCGTTTGTAGCTCACCAAAATAATCACTTCCAACCCTATAGAGTATACATTTCCTTGATCAGCGTAATATTCTATGACAAGTTACAAATGTCTGCTTATTTAGTATTATATTCGCCCCCTTTGGAGTAGTCCCAATATAACCCCCTTTTTATATTAAAATAGTTAACTGACTTATGCCGCGTGATGAGGCTGTCCCCATATAGGCGTATTTCACCATATTCTGTACTCGAAATTGTAATAAAGATTAGGTTCGAAATTGAGCTATATCGATCCTCAATTAGGCATAGCCCTTCATATAATGATAACCCCAAATATTCGCTAATTCCTTCACGGTGTAATCAAGCCCCGCTTTGGGTATAGCATAACAAAACTTTGCCATTTAGTTTGCCGTATTTTGAGGATTTTATACATCTGTTCCACTAGAAAATTCCCCATTAAAAATTGCTTAAATATGTATTTGGTGTACATTATGGTTTATAACAATCGCTTGGTAGCATTCTCTGCATAGATCCACTTTTTGATACGTACCCTCTATTTCAAGTAACTGTCAATTTACCTATGGTGGACGGTGTCCAAAGTGCGTCCCAGCGTAACTCAAATCTTTTTTCACTTGTTTCTACTCTAAAGTTATAAATACCTTGAAACTAGAAAAAACACATAAAAAACAACGCCTGTAGTCCATAACCTCCACCAAATTATGTGTATTATATTCCTTATATATCTAGGGACTTTTTATTGATTGTAATTTGTCTGCTAGTAAGTTCTTTAAGAAAATTACAGAAATTTTCTTAAACTGGACTAGGGAGTGAGAAATTTGTATGAATGTTATATCGAAATAATACGTTTTTCAAACCCGAAGAAACCAGGATACCAAATTATATGGTCTGTTCCCGTACTGCATAGAATCACTTTCTGAGTCGATTTACGCATGTCCGTCTGTCCGTCCGTACATCCGTCCGTCCGTCTGTCCGTCCATGTATTTTTGTGAACAAAGTACAGTCCGATTTGGATGAAATTTGGCATAGGTCACTTATTTGGCCCAAGGACGAACCCTATTGAAATTGGGAAAATCGGTTCAGATTTAGATATAGCTCCTATATATAGTTTCGTCCGATTTTATGTAAATAGTGCACCAAAGTCTCTATATATCTATATATATATATCGATTTGCACGAAATTTGGCACAGCGTAATGAATAAAGTACAGAATGATGTGTGTTAAATTTCCTGAAAATCTGGTCAGATTTAGATATAGCTCCGATATATATTTTCGTCCGATTTAATGTAAATGATCCACCAAAGTCCCTATATATCTGTTGATTTGCACGAAATTTGGCACAGCGTAATGAATAAAGTATAGAATGATGTGTGCTAAGTTTCGTGAATATCGGTTCAGATTTAGATATAGCTCCCATATATATTTTCGTCCGATTTAATGTAAATGGTGCACCAAAGTCCCTATATATCTTTCAATTTGCACGAAATTTGGCACAGCGTAATGAATAAGGCCTAGAATGATATGTGCTGAGTTCCATGAAAATTGGTTCAGATTTAGATATATCTCAATATATAGTTTCGTCCGGTTTTATGTGAATGTCCCTGTATGTCATTAGGTCTAGAATAATGTGTGTTAAGTTTCCTGAAAATCGGTTCAGATTTAGATATAGCTCCCACATATATTTTCGTCCTATAAAATGTAAATGGTGCACCAAAGTCCCTACATATCTTTCGATCTGCACGAAATTTGGCACAGCGTAATGAATTAGGTCTAGAATGATGTGTTTTAAGTTTCCTAAAAATCGGGTCAGATTTTGATATAGCTCCCATATATAATTTCGTCCGATTTATGGTAAATGGTGTACCAAAGTCCCTTAATATCTTTCGGTTTGCATGAAATTTGGCACAGCGTAATGAATTAGGTCTAGAATGATGTGTGTTAAATTTCCTGAAATCGTTGAAATCGTTTCAGATTTAGATACAGCTTCTTTATCTGATCAAATGAAAAAAATTGTATAGGTTGCGGAATGGATCCAATTTTATTTTGCTGGTCCTTTAAAAATGCGACGTCTGTTAGGATTCATCTGTTGAATATACCCAAAGTGGTGAAGGGTATTATATAGTCGACCCCGTCCGACTTTACTACTTTCCTTACTGGTTTATTTCATCCAATTTCATGTTAATAGTCCTGTTTAATATATCCATAGTGGTGAAGGGTATCATATAGTCGGCCCCGTCCGACTTTACTACTTTCCTTACTGGTTTTTAATTTAACACAACAAATTTGTTAGAAAAACAAACATAACTGGTTCGGCAGTTAGTGACTCGAAACAAAAATAATAAGGATGGAAAAAGAAGTAGAAGAGAAAAAGGAAAACAATAATAACACACAAAACTCTAAACCGTAAATCTACGATAATTGTCGGTTGGTCACACAAGGAGCCAGGAAGAGGAAAAACTTAAATAATAAGTAATTATACCAGAGGAGCTAAAGCAAGGATGACTGCAGCGACAAATGTTAGAAGAAATATCATAATTATATAAGAAACATAAAGAATACTTAACGAAGACACAAAAACCCTCTCATAAGATTTGGAAAAAAATAGAGGAAGAAAAAAATAGAAGAAGAAGAAAAAGCAGTGGCAAAAGTTAAACCAAATGATGTTGACTTTTGCGAACTGTAACAGTTTTTTGCTAACTTTAAACATGGAAATTGAATCAAGGGTAAGGGAAAGAAGTGAGGAATCCAAAAACAAGGAAAAAATAAAACAACTTTTTGGTCAATGGTCCTTGGCTAGGTCTGTTACTGCCTGTGTCCCAGCCAACATTTAATTCAGAATTCCTAGCATGTCCTTAGGCAACTACCATAAATAATACCAACACAATAAAATAAAAAAGAATTATTTCAAACAAAAAGAAGAAGAATAGGAGAAAAATCGGAAAAACACAGCTGAAACTGAAACCGTTATTATGGCCACTTTTACCAGGTTCTTGGCGAACAAAATTTCTGTTTTTTACAGGGTCCTTTAAAAAAGAAACCAACACAAAAGCAAAAGTTGTTGAACACAAAAACAAAACACTTAAAAACTAACACAAAAATTTGTTGTAGGTCTCTGGCACGCACAGACATGCCTCCTCGTTTAAAGGACTTTCACTTATCACACAGCAAAACAAAAAAGTGTGACAGCAGAAAGTTCGTTGTGCGTTCCATGTCTCCCCACTATCGCTCTCCCTCTCTGCCCATCTAGGCTTTTGTCCTTTGTTTGGCATATGCCAGGGCCGCTGCCAATATACGTTTCTCCAGAACACGATATTCCAATATCATTGCTGCCGTCGAACTCATCTCCACCTTCTTCTCCTTCACCAAGACCAACTGGCTTTCATCCTCCTCCAGGGTTTGGGCGAAGACACGTAACAGCAGCATCAAACGTGTTCGCAGATATTGCCACGTTTTTGTTTCCAATGCACAGTCGATGTGCAATAAATCCGTGGCTCGTTCCGCATTGCCAATCCAATGATCCAACTGCTCTTCGTTCATATTGAAGACTCAAACAAAAGCCAAAAGTTCTGGGGAAATAAATTCGGGCGCCGGCAGTATCTTCAATTCGCTATTCTTTGGTATATTGATAAGTTCCAAAAGTTTGGCATGTTTTTCGTACAACACATCGGATGGACTTAGGCCGAGTTTAATCGATATTTTATCTTTGGGATTTGAGAGATTTATGAAACTGCAAAAAAGAAGGGGACAATTAGTAAAACAGCAAATAAAACCAATAAAATCGGACGGGGCCGACTATATGATCCCCTTCACCACTTTGGGTATATTCTATATATGTATCCTAAACGACGTAATTCAGTACTTTATACCAAATTTCGAGCAAATCGAAAGACATGTGGGGACTTTGGTTCACCATTTACCTTAAATCGGACGAAACTATATATGGGAGCTATAGCTAAATCTGAACCGATTTCCACTAAATTTAACATACATCATTCTAGACTTAATTCAGTACGCTATGCCAAATTACGTGCAAATCGAAAGATATATAGGGATAGGGACTTTGGTGCACCATTTACTTAAAATCGGACGAAAATATATATGGGAGCTATATATAAATCTGAATCGATTTTCTTGATACTTATCTCACAGTTTTATAGACGCAATTCAGTACGCTATGCCAAATTTCGTGCAAATCGAATGATATTTAGGGACTTTGGCGCACCATTTACCTAAAATCGGACAAAACTATATATGGGAGCTATATGTAAATCTGAACCGATATTCACGAATCTTAACACACATCATTCTGCACTTATTTCAGTACGCTATGCCAAATTTCGTGCATATCGAAAGATATTTAGGGACTTTGGCGCACCATTTACCTTAAATCGGACGAAAATATATATGGGAGCTATATCTAAATCTGAACCGATTTTTTCCCAATTTCAATAGGGTTCGTCATTGGGCCAAATAAGTGAGCTGTGCCAAATTTCATCCACAGACGGACAGACGGTTACAAACATTTGCCCACGGACATAATACCCTATACCACAGTGAAGGGTATACAAATATGTATCATACTCACCCATTGTGAATCATCAAATCCGAATTGTTGCGATCACCATAGTAAATAAAGATCTGCTCGCCCGCCTTATAATCCTCCTGGGCACTGCTCTCCACTTGCTGGGTTTCCATATTGAAAAAGGTCGTAATGGTGCCATTACGATGATTTGCCATATCCCAGAAGGGTATCAAAGCGACAACGGTGTCCGACAGGTCACCCTCACGTTTGGGCTGGGTGCGAGGTATGAGGTTTTCACGGGTCATCACCGTTGAGACGGCCCATCTAAAAGACGAAAAAAAAAGAAAATTCCAATCAAAAAATATTTTAAATAATTAATTTCAATTTCTTTTGCATGGCTTCGGATCCACTAACGAAGTTCGTGGTTAGGTGGCGGCTCGTAAAGTCCAATTTTTCAAATTAATTACCACATCACATCGAAAATTCGCTTAAGACCATAACAATTTGTTTTGCGTCATATTTTCCTTGAAAGACAAGCACCACCACCACAACAAGAAGACAAACTTTGTCGGTTTTATTTGAAAGTTAAAACCATGAAATTGTTGCTGTTGTTGGTTTTCTGCTGCTCTTGTTGTTGTTGAGTTCATAAAAACTGCCTAAAACTATGCTGTAATATTTCAACTTTTTCCCACTTGAATACATTTTTTTAATAACCACACTTTTGAGGTTAGCCCGTCTAAGGCCAGAGTAAAGCCTCTAGGACAATGCCACAACCAATGTTTGGTGAACAAATTCGAATAACGAAGATAAGACGTTGTAAAACTGCCGACTAACCGAATGAACTAACATGGTAATAAACTAAATAACACCAACAGCACATCGTCAACAAGAACTCAAGCATTAACAGTCGACGTCAACTACGTTAGCCTAGCAACAAATTTCAAAGGGGAGGCAGATAGAGTTGTCAACGACCAAGAATGACGACAAACAATAATAACACCACCGCACAACACGAATATGCATCCTTCCATCAACACTCAAACGCAGTCTGAAAGTTGAAAACTTTTCAGCGTCTCATCATCATTAACATGTTAGAAGACCATCATCACTGTATCCAAGACGAGGACTATGACGGGGAAGATGAAGAAGAGAAGCTAAAGTTTTAACTTTCCAGTTACCACCATTTTGGCCATTATCAACAACCGAAAAAAATACTCAATCCCCTCTCCCTCTGAATCTCTCTCATCCCGCTTTTTGGAATAACATCAAGTCGTGGTGTCACTACAAATAAGCTCCGAGATATGCAATGATAATTTCACTAATCCTTTGAGCAACAACTACAGTAACAAACCAGTAAGGAAAGTAGTAAAGTCGGACGCGGCCGACTATATGATACCCTTCACCACTATGGGTATATTAAACAGGACTATTAGCATGAAATTGGATGAAATAAAATATGTGATATTTATCTAAATGTGAATCTACGTAGATCTATCCATAAAGTATGTAAATCGACTTCAAACAAATATAAATGGGTCATCCGTTGGGCTATGTCTGTACTTCTAGAAAACGCAACTACATAATTCTATGCTCAATTTTGTACGTTGTGCAAAATTTGATGTCAAACTGACTAACATGAGGAGTTTGATGCCCAATTTACTTGAAATCGGGCGAAAATATATACGGAAGCTCTGTCCAAATATTAAGCGATTTCAAACAAACTTGTCACAGGATAGGTTATACTAATTTCAGAACGTTTTGTTCCTATTGGTTCTTGGTGCGTCAATTACTTAAAATCAATCTATAATAAAAGGGAGCTATATCTAAGCCTTGACCGATTTTCACGAAACAACGCAGACATCACCTAGGCTCAATTCAGTACGTTATGCCAAATTTTATGCAAAACGAAAGATATATAGGGACTTTGGTGCAACATTTACATGAAATCGGACGAAACTATATGGGGGAGCTATATAGAAATCTGTACTGATTTTCTCGAAATTTGGCAGACATCACTCTAGGCTCAATTCAGTACGTTATGCAAAATTTCGTGCAAATCGAAGGGACTTTGGTGCACCATTTACATGAAATCGGACGAAACTATATATGGGAGCTATACCAAAATCTGGACCGATTTTCACGAAACTTGTCAGACATCATTCTAGGCTCAAATAAGTACGTTATGCCAAATTTCGTGCAAATCGAAAGATATATAAGGATTTGGGTGCACCATTTATATGAAATCGGACGAAACTATATATGGGAGCTATATGTAAATCTTGACCTATTTTCACGAAACTTGGCAGACATCATTGTAGGCCTAAATTATTAGGCTGTACCAAATTTCGTGCAAATCAAAAGATATATAGGGACTTTGGGGCACCATTTACATAAAATCGGACGAAACTATATAAGGAAGATATATCTAAATCAGGACCGATTTTCATGAAACTTGGCAGACATCATTCTGGGCTCAATTAAGTACGTTATGCCACATTTCGTGCAAATCGAAGGCTATATAGGGACTTTGGTGCATCATTTACATGTAATCGGACGAAACAATATATGGGAGCTATATCTAAATCTGGACCCATTTTCTCGAAACTTGGCAGACATCATTCAAGGCTCATTTCAGT